TATGCGGAAACTGCTTTGCATACGCTTAGACGCAGCGGTAAGCTACGAGAGGGGATCACATTCGGAATCCGACCGGCTGGATATTCAGTCATCAGCTGGATTTTCAGCAGCAGCGCTTTCAGTTTCCCTCTGACGAACTAACACGAGAACAACGACGCAATGTGCTCACTCGGAACACGTGAACCAATTCATTACCATGACTCCTTCTTTTAGGATTCCAACAATGCGAAATCTATTGATGCGACATCTATTTATAGTTGCGAACAAAATGTATCTGCGATCATCACTTTCTCAGGTTCCTTTACACTTCAGCTCGATCATTTACGCAGTCCTTTTGGCACACCGATCTGCGTCCAACTGTGTGGTAACTCGCGGTAAGTTCTGTTCTTCGAAATCGCAGCACATACATTTTCCGAGGATTACAGTGCAAGGGTCCACACAAATAATACATGTAAAAAGGCCACAGCAGTCAATGAGAGACAATGCAACAGATTCTACCACAACAAAAAACTACATTTTATACTCGAATTGAATTCAAAATTTTACTTGACATCCAGGCAAACAAAAACTTCACAAAAGTTTGTACAGCTATAAAAAAATATCGCTTCCGTGTATATTTTAGTTCTACTGTACTCGTATGATAAATCGAATACCGTATTTGTACTGAGGTACAATAATCATGAATAATGCACCCTCAAGGATATGAGACACAGCACACCTCAGATTTTTTGCTAGAATTTTTGGAAAAATCTTGCCCTTCATGAGTGTGCACCTTATGTTCCAGTTACCAAAATTTATATTTGAAAAACTGCGCTGGGTAAAAATCTGAATAGAAGCCCACTCAAAAATCAAATTCAAGGCAATTTTTCAATATCCTGCTTATGAGGAACTCTGAAAAAAGATTTGGAAGTAAGGAGAAAAGTTTCCAATTCTTCAAAAAAAAGTCACTTAAAATTGTTTACACAGCTGTGACATGCACCTAATTGTTTGCCCCAATGTAATGTAAAAAAACCGGGGTGGATGGGGACCAGTATATACGGTACTGTACTTCCTCTTCGACAAAACGACCAAATCTTTGTAACCTCCAGCACTCGGTGAGATATTCATGAGATGTTCAGAATCAGAATATACAGTATTGCGCATCTGTATTTCATTCAACGTGCTGTAGTTTCCAAGGAACATGTTGAATTCTATAAAATTGAACATCAGAAGATGTTACGTTTCACATGAACTGAAAAATTTATATGAAGTAACATAACTAATCTAGGAGGGTAGAGTACAGGTATTGGTTTTTTTTAATGCAAGGATCCCCAATATATTGCCATTACACGGAAGTCCATGTTTTAGACTTGATCAGCTCGTCCAACAAGATTCAGAGATGTGTACATCAACATTTTCGCTCAAGACTTCAAACTGGATCACAATCATTTATTACGCCAAACACGCACACATCCATCATCTCGTCACAATTTTCGCACTTCATCGTAGAAAAAAAGAGCGTACAAAAATGCATGAATATTGAAAACAATGTCATTTATATCACGCGTCTTCGACTGGTCTTCGACAGCCAATATAACGTAATACAGGCAGGACTGTGCAGAACGAATGAAATCCCGTTTCAAAACTTAAGGCTGATTGCGAGCGAAAAATCGTTGAATTTGAGACTCCAACGACATCGTCGTATACAATATACACACACTATTGAAAATAATAATTACGAAGAAACTGCTTTCACGTTACTGCGTTTGGATCTCAGGTACGCAGCCATGAGTTTGTTGGGATTATTCGGCCGCTTCCTGTCTCTGCACCTCGCATGCTCTTCTGCACTTTCTCCTATGAGCTTCGCCAACTGGAATTCGCTGTCGTCCAATTTTCTCAACAGCTTTTCGACGAACTGACTCTCCGAACCGGTCCCGAATGCCAATTTTCTTATCAACGGAAAACTGAAATACAGTAATATTTTTTTAAATCATCACGAAATGAAGTACAGTACCTTACATGAAATCACAGTTGAACCTCTCTAAGCCAAACTTCAAGGGACTAGAAAAAAAAAATCGAGTCCGGGAAACGACGCATTTTTGCAGGGGAAAGAAATAAAGAATTGCAGGAAATTTTATTGGCTGATTGTCTGGACCTTTAATTGCTTTTTAAATGAGTAGACAGGATGCTGAACTTCATCTTTAAGCTTCTAAAAATGGAAAAAAAGGTGTGCTTATAATTGCGTAAATACGGTAACTAAAAATACATTTGTCCAAGTGGTATCCAAACACTGAGATGCCTTGAAAGCTTTACAATCCACAAACAGAAATTGGTACAGTATAAGCGCTGCAGTTCACACGAGTTATGATAAATTCGAACTCACCGAGATCTAAACGTTGTGATGATGGAAGCACCGATCGCTTCAGCATCTCTGATGTTCAAACGAAGCAGATGAACTCCGAACTCGTAGAAATAAGGTCGAATGTGCGGCAA